CCTCACATACACTACTGTCAGACAGGTTCTGTGAAGAGCAATTTGTAAGTCAGGTTATCGACTGTTTGGGGCTAAACTTTTCTTCTTGGTCGTCCTCATGAGCTTCTATTTCTTTGCTGAGATCTTGCGTCTTCCATTTGTTTTAAGAGCATTTCTCCTTCCTGCGGCATCTATATAACACGTCCTCTCAGGTTTTGTCAAATGACTCCCGCTTCTGCATCGACCTCAGTGTGGCTTATCTTTCCCCAAGCACCAGACATGTTTCTAACCATGAGATCGTGCTTAGTAATTCTGGATTTTAGCCTGATCATCCTGAATATGATGAGACTCTAAGCCATGGCACATGCCAGATAAATAAATAAAATAGAATTTTTAAAACCTTCTCCTCTGCAGTCTGGCTTTCCAGTTCTTAGGGCTCCCTTTTTAGTGCCCTAGAAACTGAGCCTGGGCTTTGTTCAAGTTCTGCTGAAGACCTCCTCATGCCTGAGCTCAGATTCAGGCCAAGCAGCAGAAAGACAAAGAGAAGGGAAAAGCAAGGCCTTTTACCTACCCTCACACCTGTTGCCACCAGAAATAGATAGCTATTCCTTAGGGTACAAGTTCCTGGAGCCACTACACCCCAGCACCAGCACAGCATTTGAGGGCACAGTGGAAGGATAGGGCCTTGGTGATCCACCTCTGCTTTTGGCAGTCAAGGAGTTCCTTTCTCCCCAGAGCAGGAACTATAGCAAGCCTAGCCTAAGATGAAAGAAGAACTGTAACTACTCATCAACTTGGTGATATTTCCCCCATCACTAGCCTCTGATGTCCCAGCCCTCACTAAGCTGCTGCCTACATTCTGCTGGGTTCCAGGAAGGATTTTGGCTGGAGGGACCAGGCGCATGTGCCATTGCCATCTAATCTGGAACCAGAGCCCACTGCCTTTCATTGCTGTATTTTAGCTTCATTCCTCAAAAACTCACTCTGGCTGCTTCTGAAGCTTGGGCATTGTGAGTTCAAATGGCTGTGACCTGTGCCAGCTTCAGTAGAATCCCCTCCAAACTACCTGTTGCTGTCAAGGAAACACTCCCTTGGCAGGGCCGTGTATGGCACCTGTGCCTCTGCCCTCCTTATAGCATGGTCCAGAATGAACTCAAGGCTCAGTGCGGAAAGATGGCATCTCCAATAGGAGTCGGGGCTGTGTGGCTGAAGACCCTGCCCATGCCATTGGACGTGTAAGCCAGGCTCCAGGGGAAGGTGCTTGGGTAGGATCTGAAGGCCAGCCCTATGACTGTTCCATACTCAAGTGGTGCGTGATAGCGACTTGGGATGTCAAGGCAGCACCTGGGATGATTGGTAGGCTGGAGGGGCTTAAGAAGTAAGGTGGGCAGAGCCAAACTGCTGCCTCCTCCACCACATCCCCAGTGTGGGGTCTCCCTTATCAGAAATAGTTGAGCTTCATGGGTCTGAGTCCAGGAGTGGAGATGGCTCTCCCTTTAAGGCTATGCTTCCCACTTCCTTAGCACACATCCAAAACTCCCCATGTCTACAACACAGCACCACTTTGGGAAGCAGCATCCTTCCCACTCCTGATGATCCCAAGTGCAGATGGTATTTGATAAATAACTCATTTTTCACTTAGGTGGCTTCACTGTATGTGCAAGCCACCAGAGCATTGTCCCTCAGAGAGGGAATCTGAAGTCCAGGGTAGCCTTAAGCAGAGCCTTGACCCCAGCTGCATCCGCACAACAAAGTCCTGGAGCAGCGGAGCATGCTGAAGAAGGGAAGCATTCAGAAAAGCCATGAGAGAGTCGCAAGCTTGAAAAACACCACTCTGTAGCATGCAAAGCCCACTTCCCACAGCACTGGGGTTTCTGGCTCATCCCCTGTGGAGAGCCACACAAGGGAAGGATGGAATTCAGTGGGTCCCTCTGGGGCTTCCCACAGCACTGGGGTTTCTGGCTCATCCCCTGTGGAGAGCCACACAGGGGAAGGATGGAATTCAGTGGGTCCCTCTGGGCCACCCAACATGACTTGGACAGCCACCAAGGATTTATGTGACCACATGAACCTTCAGAAATTGTGTTTTCCACCATTTACATTGAACTCCTATGAGCAGATTCTCCTACATTTGAAAGATGGTCATTAATGCAAAAGTGCCAGCCCGCTCCTTGCACGTAAGTACAGAGCGAATCTTGAATGTGACCAGGTCTGGCTAAAGGCCTGTCTCTGAGAGAGGCTTCCATGAATGAGTGCATTTGCTCCTTACAAGGTGACACAGGCTTTTAGGTACACTTGAAAAACAATGTGCTTAAAACACTGCTTCCTTTGAGCCATACTGACTAGTGCAGTGGGTCTCAACCCCTTTGGAGTCAAACAACCCTTTCACAGGGGTCACATATCAGATATCCTGCATATCAGATATTGGCATCATAATTCGTAACAGTAACAAAATTAGTTAAGAAGTAGCAAGGAAAATAATTTTGTGGTGGTGGTGGGGTCACCACGCCATGAGGAACTGTATTAGAGGGTGGTAGCTTTAGGAAGGCTGAGAACCACCAGGCTCTGTGTTGCCCTGTGTGAGTTGTGGGTGGTTAAGAACTGCTTACCAGGCCTGAGGGTGCAACTGCATTGGTAGAGTGCCTGGCTAGGATGCACAAAGCCCTGGGTTCAATCCCCAGTACATAAAATGGGACATGGTGGCAGGCATGTCTGTAATCCTGTACTTAGAAGATAGAAACATAAGGGTTGGGAATTCAGGGCTGTATAACACATTCAAGGCCAGTCTGGGATAGATGATAAAAACAGAAAGTTTCTTTATAATAAACTGACAACAAAGCTGAATGAGGAGTCAAGGTGGTTCAGTGGTTAAGAGCACTTGCTCTTCTTCAGGGGACCCAGTTTTAACTCCCAGCACTCACAACAGTCTGCAACTCCAGTTCCAGGGCATCCAATGCCTTTTTCCTGGCTTCTGTGGGAGCCAGCCATGCATGTATATGTGCATGCAGGTAAACATCCATATAAAATAAAAACAAAAAGAAACTGAACATGTTTGACAGAATGTACTGGTATCTGAACACATAAACTTCCCATTCCGGACACTTTGCTACTTGGAGAGAAAGACTCTCCGTGACCTGACAGTCCTTGGTCAGAGCCTCCATGGCTGGGAGCCACCAACAGTGTAGATGCCACTGTTTCTCACAGCCTGCTCCAGTTAAGCTATCCCTTAGTTTAGTCCCAGCATGTTTATTAAAGCACTAGGCTGTTCTGGAAAACATCGGCCACAATCCTCTCCCTAGGCCACAGCAAGGGCGACGGCTCACCCTTCTCTGAGGAAGGCAGGGCAGCTTCTGCTTCTAGCAGGATGAGGTTGCTTCCATTGCTCCCTCTGGACGGCTCCTTGAAGCCTTTCTCAGGGTACCTCAGAGGCCTGCCTGCCTTCTCCTCCTCTGCCTTCTTCCTTTCCCTTTCTCAGACAACAGTAACAATAAGTATGATTAGCAAGGTGATTTCGAGCCCCTTTCAGAGGACAAGACAGTAAACAGAGCTTGTTTGCCTAAGGAAGCCCTCCCAGCACCCAGCCACTCAAACTGCGTGTGTTAATGAACCCAGAGCCGTTAATGCGGTTTCTTCAGTTAAATTGATTCATGAATTTTGAAGAGAACATTATCTAATGAATTTTCTTTGAATAGAAAGCAATTAAAAGGACAAATCAGTCTGATTAACCCCAAAGTCACCCTCCTGCCACAAATGCTGTACAGTTTGAAATTATATCATAAAAAAAACTGGAGCACATTTGCTGTGTCTGTGCCCTCTACTAATCCATGTAAATTAATGAACAACAAAGTTAATTTCTTTGATGACCCTTTTCTAGTATCACCTGGATTATGCTGATGTTTAATTTGCTTAATGTTATAATAAAGACTAAACAGGGTTTTTTTTTTTCCAGTGAAGTGATTATCATTCCCTTCAGTTAAGAAGTGATTTTTATTATTTAACATGCATGTAAGGGTATGTTTCCTTTAAGGGCCAAATCACACTCTGCCAGCTTGGCACCAAATGTGGCCAGCACTGAGGAGGACACACTCCCTGATGCTGCTTCTGCCCGTGTAGCCCTCCTCTCTGTTGTTCCCTTCAGAAACTCCTGCTCCCAAGCATTGGAGCCCGGGGATGGAGGATGGGGCTTGACCTCCCTGATGCCTAGCTTGTGTGTCCCCCCTGGAAGACAACAGGAATTGATTCACACCAGACTCTCCCTTGTGCCTGGGCTTCTGTCCTGCACTTTTCAGGGAATGATTCCAAAGCCCAGAGGCATCAAGGGAGAGGAGCTGGCCATGCCTCCCCCTAACCTGCTGCAGGACACAAAATGCATGCCCCTTGATGTGGCTGATGAGAGAAAATGGGGAAGGATGTTTTGTTTTTGCCTCACTGTTCATTCAAGATGCCTACAACTGCCTGCAGCCAGGGTCACCTCCCCCACCCCACCCCAACCTGGGCATACTGGTGGAGGCATCTGTCGTTCACAACAGCACTGGGAGGGGATAAGTCCTGCCCACTGCCGGGTGTGGACAGCTAGAAGAGGGTCCCATCCCATCCCTGCTGACTTCCTCCTCCTGCATCTCACCTGAAGCTGGAAATTAACCAGCAGTCCAAAGGGCTTCCACATAGGTGGGCCAGCAGGGGCTCCTGTGCTTGCTAATTGAACTGTGTGCGAATGCTTGCCTGCCCGCTCACAGAAAGAGCATCGCACACAGCTCCACACGGAACGTGAGGAAGATGGAAGGAAATTAAAGACGTGGGAAGCCTTGTGAGGCCCACCTGCTTTGTGCCCGATTTAGTCTCAGTTCCCCATGCCTGTGCCGCCATGACAGGGTGCTGTGTGGAGGGAGGCCTGTGTTTTAATTGAGTGTGACACCTCTGTTTGTGTCGTTGCATTTTCTGCTGGGGGACTGGCAGCTATTTATATCTGGGCTGCTGGAGCCGTTTGTCCAAATCACGTCATTCTGTTTTCCTTCTTTCAGATTCATTCACCAGACAGGTGTTATGGAAGCTGCTGAAGGTTGTGAAATTCGGAGAAATGGTTTCTTACCAGCAATTAGCAGCCCTGGCAGGCAACCCCAAAGCAGCTAGAGCAGTAGGAGGAGCAATGAGAAACAATCCTGTAAGTTCTGCAGATGGGCAGCAGGCTGGATACCTTCCATTGCTGGGCCTCGAACCACTCTGGGAGCCAAGTGTCATTTGAATAAATGTATTTCATAGGCCAACCCTGTGGCTGGGTGGCGGGGTAACTCCTGGGAGTGGGACCCTTGTGTGTCAGCCACATGAGCCCTTTGTTATAGCAGCCTGGAGAGTGGCGAGCAGATGAGAGAGCAGCCTGTTTGTTCATTCACTCCCCACTGGATGGTTCTTGCTGAGTGGCAACATTCTTCCATACACTGGAAATACAGCCATACATCCAGAAGGCAAGAGGCCTGACCATGTGTCACAGCCTTCTGAGAAGGTTTTGGTGAAATAGTACAACCCCATCTCCCTGGATCTCTGGAGTATGGTGAGCCTAGATGTGACACCTTGCATCATAGATGTCTACTGTCCTTGGGTGTCAGCTCCCCGGGGAATGGCTCTTCCCCCAGAACTCATCAGCATTTATTTATGTTCCTTCCTGCAAATCTGCCAGAGTTTATTGAGCTTTTAGAGATAGCCTGTAGTCCCACAGTGCAGCCGGTATTTTTGCCCCCCCCCACCCAGCACAGCCAAGGGTCAGACTAGAGCCCTGCATGTCTGTGTGCCTTGTGTGTGCAAGAAGGCATGCCATCCACACAGTCTTCAGGGAAAACCACACTACCTCCAGGCTCCCTGAATGTCCCGAGCAGCCTCTCCTGTGCCAGTATAGGTGTTCTGCCATGTTGGTAAAGCTGTACAAGTCTCTGACATGACAGAAAACTGCCACCTGATCAGAAATGCACCCTATCTGGAAGGGACATTGATGAATCAGACAGTCTGAGCCTCCCTTGGTGGGTGGTGGTTGTTTGAGACAGGGTTTCTCTGTGTAGCCTTGGCTGTCCTGGAACTATGTAGACCATGCTGTCCTCAAACTCACAGAGATCCTCCTGCCTCCTCTGCCTCCCAAGAGTTAAGATTAAAGGGGTATGCACCACACCTGCTCTGAATATGGCTTTTAAGGTCTTCCAACAAAACTTTTCTCCTGCCTTTTGGTAGACCACCATTTCTGGGCCACTACTAGATATTGGGCATTAGATTAAAAAGAAAGAAAAAAGACAGGGTCTCTCTATATAGCCCTGGGGCTGTCCCAGAACTTTTTCTGTAGACCAGGCAAGAACTCATAGAGATATCTGTCTCTGACTCCTGAGTTCTGGGACTAAAGCTATTTGTCACCATGCCTGGCCATGAGGCATTTGACTAGGAGGCAGCTCTGATACATTTGGTCTATGGCTCCATTTAATGCCGCGGAAGAATAGAGGAAGCCAACATTCTTTCTACACTCCTTGTGCTGCACCCTTGTAGCTGTGGTTTTAACACACACCAACCACCCTGACCTTTGAAGGGGGTAGGTGTTTCTGTGCCAGGTCTGAGTGCCTACTGAGGCTAAGAAAGAGGCATGGACATTCCCCAAGTGACTCCTGCAACAAGATCAATGGTTTGGTATTTATCCACACTCAAGGTAGGAACCAAAGTGTGTTATTTTGCAAAGTTTCCTGTGCGTACTCACATAAAGATGAAGATGGCCCCGTCAGTGGGCACCAACACCACAGCTTCTTGAAGCAGATTTTAATTGTGTGCAGTTAACATCTGCTTCAAGAACAAGCCCTGCTGCCCAGGGTGCCTCTTGGTAAGCATACTACACCCACTTTTGTGATGAATTCCCATCAAGCATCACTGGAAACCCGTATGAGAAGGGAATACTGAGACTTGACAGAGAAAAGGCCTGGACAATGGTAGGCTCTGCCTGCTGCCCATGTTGGCAGGTGTCCTCAGCACCACTGACAACAGGGCCCAAGATGGGGGTGGCTGTGTGTCGCCTTTTCCCCAAAGCCACCAATTTGGAATAAGCTCATGGAAAACAAAGTTCTCTTGTTTTGGCTAAGCAGTGCCATTTGTGAATTTGAGAGGAAGAGTAGAAAGGATGTAGATTGCTGTAGTCACTGGAAACTTCATCTTGCATCATTCCTTTGGTGGCTGGCAGTAACCAGGGCCTCATGCTGTCTGGTCTCACAACTGGCCATTGCTGGGTTGTCTACCTCAAGAAAAGGAATTTGGCAGGATGGGAGTCCCCTCCATCCTGGGACTCAACTTCTCCCAAGTTTCTCAGGTGGGAATCACGGGCCTTGCCGGGAGACTGGGCAGCCTCTGGAAGGTGAAGGTGCCACATCACCCTGCAAAAGGGATGCCCAGCCCTGAAGGCTCTTTACACACACACACACACACACACACACACACACTCAGAACCCTCTTCTGCCACATCCTCAGACACAATTTGCTAAATGTAGTTCAGAGGCAATCAATACAAGCTCAGGGAGTTTCCCACCTTTTTCTAAACAAACACATTCCTAAGGAGTTAGTTTATTCGCAGATTGCCATGAGCGCCGATGACCCCCGAGTCCTGTTCTGCCATTCACCCAGATGGCTGTTGATAAAGATTTAGCATCATGTTCCGAGTGTCAGGGTTGTCAGTGGAGCTGAACCATTTGACCAGAAGAAAAAAACGCACCGGGAGCTATTGATTACAACTTCTCGGTGTCACTTGTTCACCAGGATTTAGGTATTGATGAGGCTGCGAGTGAAAACAAGCTTTCTCCCTTGTGGCCTCTGCCCAGAAGAACAAAGGCAAAGTTGGAAAAAATATTCAGCCAGTTCCAGAATCAGAGGGATTCCATTATCGATTGCAAGGCCCCTTCATGTTATTTTTGTTGGAGACAAATCTATGGGTTTGGAAGTTTTATAGCAGTTGAGAAAGGGCTTGTGTGAGTGATGGATCCAGGTATTGGACAAATTAGATTTCACAGCATGAAGATTTCAATGAAGCTGTAATACCATGGGCTCCTTGAGTATGGATAGCAGTAGCATTGCATGCAGCAGGGGCTGTTAAGAAGAGGACAACAATGACACGGGTCCTTCAGATAAGGCCGTGGAGCCCCAGTAAATCTTACTGGAGCCCCAGTAAATACCTACTGCTGGCCTGATAGGAAGCAGGGTCCATTTCTAAAAGGGACCTGTGTGAGTAAGTCACCAGGCCACAATGCATTCTGAGCCAGCAGTCCCTCAACTCTGCGTTGATCCACGGAAGGAAGCAGGGAGAGGTGTGCATGGTACTCACTTTTTTAATCCCGTAATCCCTTGAGAGGGAAGAAAAAGTCAAAGCTGGGAGGTCAGGTCTGGTAGAATCAGGTAGATATCAGGTAGACTGGTGGAATATGTATCTAAATGTCGACAAGGCCAGATTGAGTGGCATGCGTGCCATCAGCCAAAGCTAAGGGTTGTTATCATCTCAGTCTTCTGACTCTGTGTCACACACACACACACACACACACACACACACACACACACACACACGTATATCAGTCATAGTAATGTTCCATTCTTAACATCTTTCATGGCTCCTTTCAAGGTCAAAGTCAGATGCCCTTGTCCACGTGCACCTGGAATTCCACTTCTCACCCCATACTGGTCGCCATGCCAGTAGTCCTTAAAACTACTCATAGACCACATCTACATATGTCATCATGGTAACCATTGGATTCAAAGCAGGATAAAGTCTGTGAGGTGTTGGAAATCGTGTCCCCATCTCCCAAGCTTTGTTGTAAAACAGCAGTGGTTCACAGGTCCACAGGTCACCATGTTAGTCACTCCTCAAGAAAGGCTGTGTGTGCACAGAGCCCTCAGGAAGACAGACAGACCCCGACTCCTCCTGCTTAGAACCTCAAGTTTGCCTCTTACTAGCCAAGTGAACTAAACATGAGTTTGACACCCTTGACCTGGGGTGTTGGAGGGCTTCTGGGGCTATATAAGGAAGCCTCACATTAAGCATGGAAAATACGTTATCGGTGGTGAGGGCTAAAATGACCCCATTGGCTGGATAATGTGTGCTACATCCCAACAAGGAGCACACCCAGCTCAGCAGGTGAACAGTATGGCCAAGGGCATGGTGGTGACCACAAGGCTTTGAGTAACGAGGAAGCAACACTGGGATGCACAGGTTCTGAGATAGAGAGCTCAATACTTCAGATGCCTGTGCTGGTGAACAGTATGGCCAAGGGCATGGTGGTGACCACAAGGCTTTGAGTAATGAGGAAGCAACACTGGGATGCACAGATTCTGAGATAGAGAGCTCAATACTTCAGATGCCTGTGCCGGGCAGCTTCCTCTAAACTGTCAGCTGACCAGAAACTGGCCACTGTGTCCCATTCGCTTACCATGTTAGATGGAAAAGGCAAGGGTGTGTCAGGGATGGAGATTAATGGGCCACAGGGAAAGGAGGGAAGAAGAGTGAATGGGTGCGGGTGATACCCAGTAGCACCTCTATCGTCCTCCCACTGGAGCCCTACTAGAGTAGCTGTGTCTCACCATAGCAGAACGCCTAGAGCAAAGCCTCTACGTGTACCTAAGATAACCTCAGGCTTGCACACCTGCTTCCTACATTTTCCTGTGTCAGAGCAGCTGAGAACCCTCCAGAATGAGCCCTGACTCTCCAGAGCTCACTGGAGCATATGCCCAGAACGTAGGTTGTGTTCAATAACAGTGGTCATCTCCCGACAGCAACCACTGTAAGTGTATTACTACATGTTTCCAGGATCCTGGTCATAGTAAGCTCTGTGGGCTGCTGGAGCCATGCTGCCTGTGTGAGCCCTCCTTTATCCCTCTGGTTAAAGCTCTCTTGGGAACTGCTTGTTTGTTGGGATCCCAATGCAAAAATGTCCATTGAATCCACAGCATTCTCTGCAGCAGGCACACAAGGCATGCCCCTTGACAGGGCAGGTATGCAGCCATCCCTGGCAGGCTGAGTGTAGTCACGTGGTTGCCCAGGGAGAGAAGTTGGGGGGTGGGTCCAAATGTTACTCCACCCACAATGAGTTTCACAGGTGATACCATTTTTTTGTACCCATGCTCTGAACCAGTGAGGCATAAAGGTATGGGGATACCAATATATTTCTTTATTGGAAAGATAGCAATATTGGAGGAGATGACGTAGCCCTGGCGTCTTTCCGTTGATTCCCACCAGGGTGATGTCCCATCACCAGCCCTGCCATCTCTGATCACAGGTTGACCTTCTCAGAAGGAATCCAGAGTACAGACAAAACTTCTGCAGACCCCCTGACTGTTCTCATCCCTTCCTTCCCTGCAGGGTGGAGGCAGGTCAGACCAGAAGTGTCTCTACCCACACAACAGAAGGGCTTCAATAGCTGTCTAGCCTGCATGGATGATGGGCCATGGAGCCTCACTCCACATAGCCCAGCCATGTGCTCAGTGACATAGGCAGACATTTGTCAGTCCCCTGTGGACCGCTGCTGAAGTAAACATACTCCCTCTACAGAGACAGGTATTCCCTTGTCCTAGTGACTGGAAGTCAAAGAACGCAGCCTGGACAAGGTTATAGCCTTGTGGCTACAGGTTGAGAATCAGAGTCCCTCTGGTGTGAACAGTGCCTTGGAGCCAAGGCCCCATGAACACCTGGCATCCAGATCTTTTGAAGGTGTCTACAGGTTTGCATGGTGCCAGCTATGGTAAATGATGGGCCAGTGGGCTCATGAGATTACAGGCCCCTGTTTTTGAGTTTGTCAGAGTCAATAGGAAGAAACACCCATTTTTGATAACTCCCTTGAATCATTCCCCAATTCTTTGATTGGTGTGACATTTTGCAATAGCAGGTGAGTGGGCAAATGGCTCAGAACACACAGACCCCACCACAGCCAAGGCATACGCATGTCTGGACATCATCCCTGGTACCCTCTGACAGTCATCTCCACCTTACATGCTTGTTCCCACTAAGAAGGGGCCTCCCTTAGAGTCAATCCACCATCTTAGTGTAGACCATTGAAGCTTAGTTTTACTCACACCATTAAAAACTGGAGAGCGGTCTGGGAACCTCAGACCATCTGAGTTGGGAAGCCGCAGCAACTTGATAAGGACTTCCTAGTCCACAGGCCTTGTTGGGGTGGAGTGGCCCACTGATCACACCTGGCTTTGGATGTGCTGCCAGTGGCAGCGTGTCCAGGGGAAGGCATACATGTAGGTGCCTTTGAGACTCTGTGTCTTCAGAAGAAAGGGGAAAGAAAAACTCCCAATACATAGGCACAGCATAACTGGCTTGGCCAACTTTTCTTGTAAAGGCAACTGGGAAAGATTTTGTGCGTTCACGAAGCAGCCACAGATGGCAGCCAAAGGCATGACTGTGCTCAAATGAAACTTTATTTACAAAATCTGAAGGTGGACAACAGCAGCCCCTCAGCCATGGTTTGCCAAGCCCTTAGGTAAACTGGGCCTGCCATCATCCCTGAAGATTCTCATTACAGCTTGGGGATGGCAGAGAAAGTGTGTGGAACTCAGAAACGTAGTTTTAATTTGAGTAGGTACACATGGTAAATCACTCCTCAGATGCAATCAGTGCCCTCCTCCTCAACCTTGATACAAAAAATCTCATATCCCACACATACCTCAAAGCAGGTGTTCCGTTCCTCAAAGGATACCTTCAAGGCCTCTGAAGGGTGCACAGTAGGGGTACTGAAGGAGCTAGTATGACCACCATGCCAGCAGCACGCCCACTGGGGATCTACCTAGTGGAGCTGAACAGTCACAGGCAAGACCTGGTAGGTAGCACAGGAACCTCAACCCAGAGCCAGACTGACAGTGACATTTCTGCTTTTCAGGTCCCCATCCTCATCCCCTGCCACAGGGTGATCTGCAGTAACGGCAGCATTGGTAATTACTCTGGAGGAGGGCAGGCTGTGAAGGAGTGGCTTCTGGCCCATGAGGGCATCCCAATGATGCAGCCAGCCTGCAAGGACTTGGGTCTTACCGGGACCCGGCTCAAGCCATCCGGTGGCTCCACCAGCTCCAAGCTATCTGGCTGAAATTGAGTAACTGTTTGAGTGACACACAGATGTAACGCCGTGTCGGAATCGGGTGTGTGGTGGTACCACTATATTAAAAGAGCTGGATGTGTCCTGGGGGACTCGATGTGGCTGCCCTTTCTTGTTTCTACATTTTACAGCAGAATGAGTTCAGACGACCCACCCTCGTGTATGTCATCAGTTCCCTTCTCTGACATGGTTATTGTTCTATTTTTAATGCCTATTAAAATGGGGGTAAGAGTGAGAAAGGCCTTGTGAGCCTTAGGGCCCCTTTACATGAAGGGAGATGCATCTGACCCCTGCAGGCAACAGCTAGCCACCTCACACAGTCCACACTACACAGCTGACCCCACCCTAGCAGGACCCCCAAGTCATCCTGCAAGCCACTTATTGTATGAAGATGGCTGCCCCATTTAGTTCCTAACACCCCACCCTTGCTGGCTGGAGGACGGATAGGCTAAGAAATAAATACCGTGTGGAGAGTCTGTGGTGTTTCTCCATCTACCAGGAAAGTGTCTTGCATCCACTGTGGCACTGTGTTCTACAATGGTTAGATAGAAAAAAAGTACCATCTTCCAAAAATGATTTGGAATGCTGAATAGCACACAGGACATAAATTTGACTGGGCTGGTGCCCTTCTAGGCATTCAAGTCACCTCCAAATTCTAGCCATTTTTGCTTTCCTTCTTTTTGAATTTCTGGATAGTAAATAGAAGAGACATGGTCCCTCCTGGGAGCCTCAAGGACCAGGAACCTGTAAAGGTTCCAGCATCCCATGTTGCTCTTGTGCATTCATGGTCATATATAGTAATCTGGTCAGCTCATGCTGCCACCAGCACTGGAGACGGGCTCCAAATCTTCTATATGGCACCTTCTGATGCCTTAAAACTCCATCATCCTCCCAGTTTTAAAACTGACTGTTCCTAAGAAGTGAAAGGAAACACAGCCAGGGGTCTGGACAAATAAAACAGTATGTGATTGGAGAAATGAACCACCAACCATGTAGCAGAAAGCTAGGTTTTATGGTGGCTTCTCTGAGAGCAGAAACCACTCATGTCATCTGAGATGGAAACACAGCCTCATAAGGAACTTGCTTTGATGAACCTGGCACTTTGTCTTCCCTTAGCACCCATGTAAACAAACCTCAGGCCTTTCTCCCTGCTTCTCAATTTATCACGTCTTCACCTTATATCAGCTGCACTAACTCTGGTATTTTTGTGAAGAGGCATTACAGATGCCACACTTTGTGAGTTTGGTTATCGCCCATCATCACAAAGCAAAGTGGGTCTTGTTGTGGTGGTGAGCCCCATAACCAGTACATTTTCAGGATAGGGCTGGGCGTGCACACTGGCATCCTCCCATCTGACTTCACCAGGGTCCTTTCTGCTTATTTCCTAAAAGGGTAATCTTTGTCTGCATCAGAGTAATGCTACATTGATATCTCTCCAGCACCAGAAAGTCACTGATGCATGTCTTTGTCCTCTGACTGAAGAGAGCAGAGTTCTTCTCAAAGAGCCACTCTGGGCCCTGCAGCCTCCTGTGCCTTGTATGTGTGTGTTCCAACAGAGGGCACTGTGGCTGCAGTGTGCTGGGGAGACCCCAGCCTCCTCCTCTGCTTAAAGAGGAGTTGGAAGGTGGGCATCAGGGTTAAACTCAACTGATTCTGAGCAGGTCCTCCACCCTGCCACGTGGGCTACCAGGCCAGTGGCTTATACATAGGTCTCCTGTGCCTGGGTGGCCTACATAATGGGAGCCTTCCTTGTGATCTCTACATTTCCAAACAGATCCAGGCTCTAAGAGGAGCCTGGGGCTGTACAGACATCCACGGCCAAACCCCCAGCATGGGACAGCCACATGCGGCCGGGACACCAACCCCATCAAAGTCACAAGGGCAACCTGGCAGCTCCAGGTAGCCTGGAATGATGAGCCGGCGTGTTTGGGCCTGCCCTTGGAGCAGTACGAAAACCGTGTCTGCTCTCCTCTCCGAGGGTTTCCTCAGTGCTGTCATAACAGGTTCATAGATGCCCTGAGGTAGCCGTTGACAGCAGCAGGACTCACTGCAGTGACCGTGTACTGCTCCAAGGATAAACTCTGCAGAGGCTGACATGAAACGCCAGCACGGTCGCCTGGAGCCGCTCTGGCTCAGGGTTGCAGCGCAGCTTGTGAAAATAAGAGGGAGAGGAAAGGCATAAAGAATTACAAAAATATTTTCCAAATAAAAAAAAAATGTTGAAACAAGAAAGCTGTGTTCTTTGGCCTTGGCCCCAGGTTCCCCTCACCTATCATATCTCCAATGCCCTGAACTCCTGCGCTTTGAATACTGACTCAGAGGCATGTCAGCTGCCATTGCACCGCGGCTCCTGCCAGCCACCCTGTCATTTGCCACCTCCATAAACGGTGGTAGCCAAAGACTCAGGCCTCATTGGCAGCAGAATAGATAGATGCCTTCGGTCAGGAAGGAGGCTGAAGCTTGGAAGTGGGTGTTTTTCTCCCAGTGAGGAAGTGTTTCTCTTCCCTATGAAGGATACACACACACACACACACACACACACACACACACACACACACACAAAACAAGAATGCTAATCGGACTCATTTTCTGCCCCAAGTTGGGAAGCTCCAACCAGGAGCAAGGGCAGTCCTGGGTCTGCATGCCGCATTCCTATAAGAGGCATTACAGGATAAAGGGGCCATTCTTTGAGGTTCTAGGAGCAGCAGATGAAGACGGTGGGTACTTCGGGAGAGATGACAGACTTGCTTGGGAGTTAATTGGATGAGTTTCTGGAATGTTCTTAGGGGCTCTAGCAGATCCATACTCCTTAATGTCTTCAGTATACCTCTCTCTTCCATAGGCCCCACTCCCTATTACTACTCTGTTACTAGAGTACCCTTTCTAAAAGGGGCCTAGTGTATCTAACATTGATGCAGTCATACTGAGACCTCAGCATTGTCAGGACAACTTTCCAATATGAGCATATGGAGAGCAAAGCCCACAGCAGGCATTGGTGGTGGTGGGTGGAGCATGTGGACCATCTCCAGAATAGCTTCTCACTGGCAACAGGTAAAATGCTGCACCTATTCCACTGTGACCCTGGATCTAGTCCTCAAGAACAAAATGTCTCTATGGGCCCCAGTGCCAACTCAGACCTCAATGTTATCGGAGGAATCAGGGAAGGGCAGCTGAATCCATGTGAAACCCTTCCTCTCCCTGGGGAGCATTCCAGAGAACCCAGTGCGCCTTTGATTTCAGACTCTGGAGTGACAGACACATTGGCTTAATGTAGGAGCCAAGGAGGACTTCATTTTAGTTCCTGGAAGTCCATTCAAGAAGCTAAACCTTTTGCAGCTTCCTCCTGTTGGGGATGTCTGGGTTTCTGTGTGTCACAAAAATAAGTCAGAGGATGGATGGGAGTTCTTGGATAGGAAGCTAAATTTCTTTGGTCTCCTCCAGGCCTTCTTGTGTCTGCCCTTTCTTTTCATGAACATTGTATTAAAGTTTGCGTTTAAAAATCTAGAATTAACAAAGCACAGAAGGCCACACAGGATGTAGTTGCAGCTGTTGGAGAGGCAGAGGCAGGAGGATGGTGACTTGAAGGCCAGCCAGGGCTGCATAGGAAGACCTATGTCTTACATACAAAAGAATTTTTAAAAGCGGTTGTGAGGCTGAAGCAGTAGGACTGGAAGCCAGCCTGATCCACCTAGCAAGTTGCAGGCTAGGGAGGACTACATAGGAAGGTGTTCCAAACAGCAATGCCCTCCCCCCCAAAAAAAAGTGAAGAATTAAGATCCTGGCAATTTCACTTGAACAGTTTGATAAAATTAAAAGAGACTCTGTAAAAGGCCCCTTTCTAGTCCCATTGTCTGTCTGTCTGTCTGTCTGTCTGTCTAAAACAAAAGGGGAGTGGTGGCCAAAAGCCAAGGCAAGAGCCTAGAGAAACTGTTGGTTCTGACATGGCTCCAGGTGACGGAGGGCGGGCATCCGGGGGCCTCAGCATCCCCGGACCCCATGGCTCCAGCTGCTGACAGATGGAGGCCGCCTGGCCTCCATCACACAAGGCTCTCCAGCAAGGGTCTGTGTTGCGATTGGGGGCCAGAGTGGATGAGGAAATAGGAAGTGGATGCTGGGCCATGAGGTGCAAATTGACAGCAGGGCCCAGCCTGACAGCGCCTCTGATTGATGAGAGGACACTGTTAACAAGCCTTTAAAGTTTCTCATTAATGTTTTTCTCACTGAAGAGAGCCACAAGAAAAAAATTCCACATGGACGGTAATTAAGATCGATCCTGTACAGTATGGTGCTGGCGCTGTTGGGAGCCTTTAAAAGAAGAAAGCAAACCCTCCCATTAAACGCTCATTTTCAGGCTGCCAACTTCTGGGTTACTGAAGCCCCATGCCCTGTGCGTGAGGCAGATTTTGTGGACGAGGGTGGTGGGCCTCACAGGAAACCTGTTTTCACTGAGGACACAGAATGAAGCCTCCACATTCTCATTGCCCTGATCTCTGATTTAGTGGCCTGGGAAAGGAGATGCTGAGTGACAGCAGCTCCCAGTCAGTTCCATGGAGTGTCAAAAGTTGGCCCTGCATGGTAAGTGTGACACTCCAAGAGACTCCAGCGCTGGAGTGAGGTGGAGAGGAGAGGAAGGAGCAATGAGGTTAGGAATCGTGTCTCTCTCCCCTTGTGCACACAGGAAACTGCACCAAGTCTCCCTGCTATGCAGCATGGGGTAGATATGCCTCCGGGTGAGTTTGGTGACTTAAATGAGGAGGAACCCAGCTGGAGAGGATGCCAGTGTCCCAGCGCTCAGTGCTGTGTGACACTGCAGAGTGCTGCTTTCCCGTTTTGATTATCATGGTTGCAGTGCATGTGTGAGGTTTTCAGGCACTATGGAGGGGTGACTCACAGTGGAGTCTGTCAGGGGCCTTCCTCGTGGAACTTGACCCTGGAATCTCCCTTTTGGGGCCTCTTAGGAAGCTGGGCTCTGGCCTGGCAGAGTGAGGGTCCCCAGAAGGAATGGGACCATCATCAAGGCCTCGATGCCCAATTTCTAAGAGACAAGGAGCATTTCTGTATCGAGATCACCCCACCAGGCTAGGAAGGCTCCCAGGAATCCTGTCAGCAAAGGTGACTCTGAAGCCCCTCTGTCCTGTAGTTCAGGG